GCTGGGCCCGCCCCCGGCCCTCGGCCCTCCTCCCTGGGCGGCCGGAGCGCAGCTTCCGCCTGGAATGGCCCTCGAGTCCCGGGGAGTCCACGAGCCGCCAGCGGGGGCGGCGACCCGGTCCGGGCGAGGCGACAGCGCAGCGTGGGGGCACATGCCCGGCCCTCATGTCCTCCAGCCCGCCCGTCCTCACACCTGGCCTCTTTGGAGGTCGAGCCTTCGTGTGTCCTGCCGAATATGTGGGGAGGAGGCCAGGGTCCGGAAGAGGGGAGAAGACCCCTGTGGCCCAGGCCGCAGGGTAGCGGGCGCGGGCGGTGTCGCTGCGGTGAGAGCGGCCTTTGGGAAATCCGGGACCAGGGCGTGGTAGGAACGACAGGTGGCTTTGATTAGGGGGCGGGGCGTTGCCGTGGAGGTTCCGGGAATTGGGGCGGGTGAGTCTGGGGGAAGGGTACCGGCCTGGTGCTAGGAGAGGGCGGTGTTGGGCCCAGACTGGGAGGCGCTGGGCTGGGACCCTGCACTTGCAGCCCTCGGGGGCCCCGGAGCCTGGTGGGTGGACGGGGCACTGGAAGCAGGAGTTACTGTGCCCTGCGGGCTGGGCAGATTGGGCCCAGGTTGGGGCCAGGAGCCTCTGTTCAGCACCTGTCTGCTCACTCTGGCTGGCCACTAGCTCACCAGGAGCCCTGCCCCTCACTGCTGGGTGCTTCACAGCTCACTGTCCATCTCAAGCTCTTCTGTAGCTAGCTCCTGTGGCTAGGGGTCCCCTGGACAGAGTGTCCTCTCCCACAAGGCTCCCTCTGCAATGCCGGTCCCTACAGGCCAGACCCGCGCTGGGTGACTCCCAAAAGCCCCGAGTCTGCCCCACAGCACATCAGCCCCACAGCACTGCCACCACTCTCCTAGGACCACCACCTGGCCTCCATCTCACCTCCCCACTTGGCTGGCTCCTCCCACAAGCCCCCCCCCCATTCTTGCTGCCTTTGCATCGCAGGCTCAGACCCCTTCCTGGCTGGACAGCACCTTGGGGACTGGCTTCCATGACCAGCACAGGGCGCCCCGGGGCTGGGGAGGCCCAGGAGGAGGAAGGGGAGGAGGGAGAGGGCTCTGTGGAGCCCCCGTCACCTGAGATGATGCTGGAACAGGCTCGGGAGTTGTTTCTGCTGTGTGACAAGGACGCCAAGGGCTTCATCACCAGGCATGACCTGCAGGTGAGCCCCTTCCCCATGGGGTGCCATGTGCCCGGGAGCACCTGGCCACTCACCCTGTTCTTGCTGGCCAGGGCCTGCAGAGCGACCTGCCCCTCACGCCCGAGCAGCTGGAAGCTGTGTTCGAGAGCCTGGACCAGGCCCGAGCTGGCTTTCTCACACCTCGGGAGTTCTGCCTCGGCCTAGGTGAGACCCTGTGCCTGGCCCTCGTGGGGCTCTGTGGCCCACATGCTGTCCTCCGTCGCCTCTCCAGGGCGATGCTACTGGGAAAACCTCAGGCACACCCATTTGAGACCCCCACCTCAGTGCCTCCCTACTCCCTCTTGGCTGACAAACCCAGGCGGGGCTGTGAGCCAAGTGTGCCCCTCTCTGGCTGGAGCCCAGCTGTCCCCTCCCAGTCCCAGACTGTTTGGGCCAGAGGAGGAAGAAAAACAGGAAGCTGGGCCCAGAGAGAGGGCAGGCTGTGTGGGAGCACACGGGGGCGGTGAGCAGGGTGGGGACAAAGATGGAGGAGAGGCCGGGGCCCTCCGTAATTTCTCCCTCCGGTCCTGACAGGCAGGTTTGCAGGCCTGGGGTCTGCCCAGGGCTCACTGCCCTCCAGGGCCACTGAGGAGACCTTTGAGTCAGGCTGGTCTGGTGCGCGGGGCCCGGGGGGCTCCCTGGAGGAGGAGGAAGAGGACGAGGAGCGATTCTGCACTGCACTGGAGCAGCTGGGGGTGGCCCGGGCCCTGGGCGAGTGAGTCGATGCTGCCCCCACGCAGCCCCGTCCCTATCTGCCATCTGTCCATCTGTGTCTGTCTCCTGGCAGAGTCCCCAGGCGAGACTGGTCCCAGCCATTCCCTCTCAGCTGCAAATCCTGGGAGGGGCAGGCGTGATTTCCCGCATCATTTGCATTTTGGGAGGTGGCAGCTAGGCTATTTGGCCGGGCCTAGCACACAGGGCACAGTCCCGTGTACACATGACACTTTGCCCCCAAGCACAGCCACGCCACCACGCACGGACCCCGAGGCAGGCGCCAAAGCACGCACGGACAGATGCGATGCACCTGGGGAAACGCCCGCGCGCTGGCCTGCAGGCCCTCCCTGCCGTGGGAGTGATGGGGGATCCTTGGGCTTCGGCTTCACCCCGGCCCGCTCCCTCTAGGCAGCAGGCGGTGCGGACGCTCTGGGTCCTGCTGCAGCGCGAGCGACCCGAGCTGCTGGGCTGCTTCGAGGACGTCCTGATGCGCGCGTCGGCCTGCCTGGAGGAGGCGGCCCGGGAGCGGGACGGCCTGGCGCAGGCGCTGCGGCGGTGAGGGCTGCGGGCGGGCGGCGGAGTGGCCAGAGGCTGCAGGGGGTGGAAGGTCCTAACCCGCCGGCTGTCCGCCCCTCCGAAGGCGGGAGAGCGAGCACGACAGGGAGGTGCGGAACCTGTACGAAGAGTTGGAGCAGCAGCTGGGTGAGCAGCGCCGGCGCCTGCGCACGCAGGTAGGACTGCACGCCCCGCCCCCTCCGGGCCGCCCCCGCCCCCACGGACTGACCACGCCCTCTCCGGCCGGGCCACGCCCCCTGCACCGCCAGGGTCCGGCTCCCGCTGCTCGGGATCCTTCCTCCGCGGCCCTGCAGCTCAGGTGCCTCCCGCCCGTCCCAGGACCGACCCCGGCAGGAGCGCAGAGGCCGCCTGGAGCAGGAGCTGCAAAGCCGCGAGCAGGAGCTGGAGCGCGCGGGCCTGCGGCAGCGGGAGGTGAATGGCCCCGGCCTAGACCTCCACAGGGGGTCGCCATGCACTCCTCGGTGCCTCAGTGTCCCCATCCCCAGACCCGTCGGGAGTCGGGTCAAGGCAGGCCTCCGAGGAGGGGGCTTTGTCGCCAGCCTCTCTCTCTCACCCCACCCTTACAGCTGGAGCGCCAGTTGCAGATGCGGGCCGCGGAGCAGTTGGAGGCGCAGGCGCAGAACGCCCAGCTGTGGCTAGCCAACGAGGCGCTGCGGACGCAGCTGGAGGGAGCGCAGGAGCAGCTCCGCGCGCTGGAGGGCGACGCGCGGGGCCGCCAGGAGCAAACGCGACGGTGCCCAGGCGCTGGGTGGGCGGGCCTTCGCGGGGCGTGCCCCGGGCGGGGGTGGGTGGCGCCGGGGCCACGTTCACCGCCATCCTCGCCCCAGCCCGGCCCCCTGGACCTGCGTGGGGGTGTCCTGGAAAGCTCGGGGGCCTCCTGCATCCTCACTGCCTCCCACCCGCAGAGACGTGGTGGCGGTCTCCAGAAACATGCAGAAGGAGAGGATCAGCCTCCTGCGGCAGCTGGAACTTCTCAGGTGCAGGCGCTCGGCTGCGAGCCACGGGGTCCGAGGGCGGGGGGCTCCCTGCTCCCAGACATTCCTGGGCCGCCGCCCCCTTCACGCCCGGACGAAGTCTCTCCTGATGTCTGCCCTCCATCCGTCGTGCTACCGCCCCAACCAGACACCTCTTTTCTGGCCCCGAGGGGGCAGAGCGCGCGTAGCCTTGGCCAAGGTTGCTGCACCTCGAGGTGCGACCCTGTCAGACCCCTCAGAACCTTAGACCCTCCCTTCCCCAGGGAGCTGAACACCCGGCTGCGGGATGAGAGAGATGCCTATGAGGCCAAGTGGCTGGGCAGTGGTCGGAAGAAGGCGTCGGCCACAGCCCTCCTGCCCGGACCCCCTGGCGGCTGCTGTTGCTGTGGCTGGGCACGCCCGCCCCGCCGGGGCTCTGGCCACCTCCCCAGTGCCTGCTGACCGGTGCGACTGAGTCCCTGGACGCTCTCGGTAGGCTGCCCTGGGTAGGACCTCCTCATAGCTGGGGGCTGCCAACCAGGATGTGGGCTCCAGCCGCGGAGCCTTCCTGACCACTGACGTGAAGGAACTAACATGGGTGGTCAGCGCGCCCCTCTTCCTCATCTTGTCCCCATCCCACCAGCCCCAACAGAGAAATCCCACTCAATGCAATAAAACCTGGTGACCCACACCTGTGCTCCTTGGCCTTCTGCGAGTCTGGGACTGCATGTGCCCAGCACATGCATTGCAGGGGCCACAGTGCAAACCTTGTCGGCCTGGGGCTGAGGTCCCTGTTTGTGTCCGTGTGTGTCCTCTGTGTTGCTGGTCATGCCCAAGACCTATCACCCATCAAAGCAGAAGCCCTGGGGACCCTCTGAATGAAGGAGGGCACTGAGGTCCAGCGGGGCTCCCGTTGACTCCACAGGGACACCAGGATCTGCCCACACAGCAGTGGGGACGGGGAAGGCAGCGTGCGCTCATTCCCTGTAGTGTGGGAGTGCTTAGGGGAGCTTCTGGTGGGCCTGGAGCAGCCCCCACAGCCCTCTCCTCTGCCTGTGCCCCAGCAGGGAACTGGGGGTGGACCAGGGCGGGTGGCAAGGCGCTCAGAGGGTGCAAGTCCAGATCCGGCCTCGGGCTGTATGTGGCTTTGGGGGTCGGAAGACCTCCTCCTTACTCCCACTCTCAACCTCCTGGTCCAGCAGATCACCAGGCCCCCATGGCGTCCAGACTGGGGGGTCTCTAGCCACCCCTCCAAGCTGTCCGCCACACTGCCCCAGAGGGCTCCCTCCCCTCCATGGGGGGGCTGCGCCATGGCTGCAGTCCCCAGACAGCACCTTCGCCCCTGGCGCCACCTCCCAAGCCAACTCCTCGGTCTCGGGGCGCCTCGAGGCGCGTCCGCTATCCGAGGCTTACCCGCAGCACCTACACCCCGCTAAGTCCCTCCCCACACCAGCTCTGGTTCAGACCTGCCCAGCGTCCGCGAGCCTGTGGAGGGGGCGGGCCGGGGCGGGGCCGGGGCGGGTCTCGCCAGCAGGCCCCGGGCCGCGCATTCTCGGCTCCCGGAGGCGCCGCCCGCGTAGTCACCGCCGCAGCAGGAGCCCGACCCGGACGCGTGGCTGGTGAGTGCGCAGCCAGCTAGGCCGGCCGGGGGCGGGGGCCGGGCTACCCGGCTGCAGGCGCCCGGGAGGCGCGGAGACCGCGCCCACGGATCCCGCCGCTGACCCCTCGCAGGCCTTTCCGGAGGGAGACGGGCAGGCAGGCCGCGGAGCGCGAGGGGCGCCGCCTGGGTCCTCGGACAGGTCCGGCGCCCTCTTCAGACAGGGCCTCGGAGTACGCAGCCCGAGAGCCCCTCATTGTCCCCAGACCCCGGTCCCCTGCCGTGGGCAGCAGGCCCGCCCACATCTCCGTGTTAGGGGCAGGCCATTGGCCGCGCCCGGTGGAGGCGGCGGCGGCGGTGACTTCACAGCCGTGACTCGGGGACGCCTTGCCCGGCCTAGTGGAGGACTCCGGGGTCCCCTGCCTGGGCTCTGGCGGCCAAGCGCCCGGGTCGCGAGTCAGGGCCTGGGGTGGGGCTGCTCTGTTGCAGCCGCAGGAGCTATTTCTAGAAGGTCCACTCCAGACATCCCAGGGCGTTCATGTCTGCCGGCCTTGACTGGGACCAGAGGCCACTCCTCCTCAGCGGGTCGCCAGGGCCTCGCCTGCCCAGTCCTGTCCTGAATCAGCCTTTCCATATGGCCTAGGGCCTCAGTGCCAGCCCAGGGCTGTATCTGTGAGAGGATGGGGTTTACCATCCCCCAGCTCAGTGGGGGGGGGGTCTCACTGGTGGGGTGTGTGTGTGCCCCTCACACCCGCTCAGTGGTGGGGGTCTGTGGCGCCCAGGTCAGTAGTGGGGGGGTGCTCCTCACCCCAGTTCAGTAATGGGTCTCAGTGGTGGTGGGGTGTGCCCCTCACCCCATCTCAGTGGTGGGCGTCTGTGGCCCCCAGGTCAGTGAGGGTGTGTGTGTGCCCCCCCAGCCCCTTCCCCTTCCAGGCTGCAGCTGTCACTGCCTTTTGGGGAGGGCAGTTCTGGAGCGGAGGACCAGGCTGGGGTGGCCTGAGGAGGCATGCAGTCCCTCCCAGGATCGAACTGTCCGGAAATGTGTTCTGTCTGCCCTGCCCCAGCCCAGACCAAGATACTGGGCCTGCCTGCTCTGCTGTCTCTGACTGGGCTGGGTGGGGCTTGTGGGGGAGGGCTGTCCTGGGCCCTACTCTGTCCCCTGGGAGTGGACTCTGCCTGCCCTGAAGTCCAGCTCTGGCTGGCGGCCCTGGGCAGCCTAGGGAGGGATGAGCGATCCTCCCAGACCTGTGACCTGCTGCCTGTGATGTGCCTTCCAGTGTGGCTCCTGGGAACTTCTGTCCACCTGCCTTACCTCCTCACCTGAGGCACCTCCGGTGAGCACTGGGCGGGGCAGTTAAAGTCCAGCCTGGGTGGTGGGCGGGGCCTGTCTGGAAACTTGGCCCTGGGCGTCTGCAGCGTCTGGCCTGTGTTCCTGGTGCAGACATAATGAACCAGGAGCCCCACTGACTTCTGCTCTGCAGGGTGCCCCTGCCCACTTCATGGGAGGCCTGAGGCCTTGGAGTTGGAGGGGCTGATCAGCTCTGGGGGGCCTCCTCCCCTTCCGCAGGTTGGATCCTGCTGGTCTGTGACGTGTGGCCCCGGGAATGTGGTGGGGAGGGCGGGCCTGGTGAGCTCACCCATGGGGCTGGCTGGGGTTTCCTCCCTGATGGACAGTCTGAGTCAGAGTGTGGGACTGGGGGGTCTTCCATGCCCACTCTGGTCCAGGAGGCTGGGCCTTCCTGGGCCTGGGGGACCCAGGCTTGGTGGCCCTAGGGCTCCGTTGGGGCACGTGGGGTTGGCTTTGGCTGCAACTGAACATAGGGGGTAGGGGTACTGCACTGTCCTCTCCAGGAAGTGACTCGTGTCCTGTTTCCATGGTGCCTCCTTCCCGGCCAGAGGGTGGTTTGGGCTGGGCCCCAACCCTGGCTGGCCTGGGCATCCCTGCCTGTGTGGCCTTGAAGTCAGGGGCTGGGATGTTGCCATCTCCCCCTAGGCCTTCCCAGTCCCCAGGATGGGCGAGTTCCATGAGAAAGAGACCACCTGTGGCACCGTCTGCCTCAAGTACTTGCTCTTCACCTTCAATTGCTGCTTCTGGGTGAGCAGTGGGCCCTCCTGGCTGGGGGCTCAGCCTGGCCTCTCTGCGACCCAGATCTGTTAGCTGTGTTCATTGCCTGCAGCTGGCTGGCCTGGCTGTCATGGCGGTGGGCATCTGGACACTGGCCCTCAAGAGCGACTATATCAGCCTGCTGTCATCAGGCACCTACCTGGCCACAGCCTACATCCTGGTGGTGGCTGGTGTGGTCGTCATGGTGACGGGCGTCCTGGGCTGCTGTGCCACCTTCAAGGAACGACGGAACTTGCTGCGTCTAGTGAGTAGGGTGTGCCCGGCACAGGGTGGGGGGCAGGCATGGGGTCCCCACTAGGTTGCGGGGGGCTGGCTCTGTGACTCCAATGGGAGGAGGGCGTGATGAAGGCAAGAAATGCAGGATGGTGGCATGTGCATGCTGGTCTCGATCCTGTGTCCCCAAGGGCTGGGATCCCCAGAAAGCAGTGGGAAGTATGGCAGCCTCCACCCACCTGGGCTCTCCAGCTCTTGGTCCTGTTGAGCTGGGACACTAGGAGTCCCTGCTCCAGGGAACAGCCGTGCCAACATCCTGCCCCACTGGGTCCCTGTCCCCCAGTACTTCATCCTGCTGCTTGTCATTTTCCTGCTGGAGATCATCGCGGGCGTCCTAGCCTATGTCTACTACCAGCAGGTGAGGGGCTGGGGTGTGTGTGTTGGTGGGGACACACAGGGGCACACCCACACACAGTGACACCCACACAGGGACATGCACAAGGCACGAGGTGTGTACATGCAGGGACAGGCACCCATGCAGCAACACGGATACGCATGAACACATAAGGACAGGGCCAGGCATGAAATGTGTATATGGAGGGACAGGCACCCGTGCGGCAACACACACACACACACACACACACACACGCAGGGGCACACCTGTCACGGGTTGGCCAGTCCTGCCTGTGACGTGGAACCCACACAGTGGTTTGGTGGGGGAGGCAGGTCTGTGTGAGCTTATACGTGGTATTCCTGCAAGGACACAGGCACACGGGTGGACACAGCCAAGCGTGCATCTGTGAACACACAGCAAGATGCACACACTCGTGACCAGCCTTCCACTCTAGAGCTGGCCTGTATGCTGTTGGGCCCTTGGAGGTGGGGGCCGGGTGAAATGGGTGGGGATTTCAGGGGCGACTACTGCCCGCAAAGCTGCCCACCCTTGGGCTGTTTGGGACCATGGGGCTCAGTGTCCCCTCCCAGCAGCTGTCACTTCTTAGTGTCCAAATGCCCCCATTCTGCTTGGGGGTGTGTCTTAGACTCTGAGTCTAAAGTTTCTACCTTGTCCCCCTGTCCCTTAGCTAAACGCAGAGCTTAAGGAGAACCTGAAGGACACCATGACAAAGCGATACCAGCAGCCCAGCCATGAGGGCGTGACCAGTGCTGTGGATAAGCTGCAGCAAGAGGTGGGCGGGTGGTGCAAGGGCTCCCTGCCTTAAGGACCGTGTCCTCATGGGCTCCACGTTCCCCCCGGGAGCGAGCCTGTAGGGTGGGTGTGGGCTCCGTGGTCCCCAGGAGTGAGCCTGTGGGGTGGGTGTGGGCTCCGTGGTCCCCAGGAATGTGTGGGCATGTGCTCTGTGGTCCTTGGGAGTGAGGCTGTGGGGTGGGGCTGGGCTCCTGGGAGTGACTACTGAATGGGTGAGTGCTCTGTGGTCCTTGGGAGTGAGCCTGTGGGGTGGGGGTGGGCTCCATGGTCCCTGGAAGTGTGTGGGCATGTGCTCTGTCTACTCGCCCACCTCCTGCTGCAGCTTATCCACAGCACTGGTCACACCCTCATGGCTGGGAATGACCGTGTCCTCATGGGCTCCATGGTCTCTGAGTGGGTGTGGACTCTGTGCTCTCCTGGAGAGTAAACGTGTGGATGAGGGACCCTGGAACCTGTGGAGCGTGGGGCCTATGACCCCTTCAGACGGAAACTGGTGTTTGCGGGGCCTCTGCCCACGAGCTCAGACCATCCATGTTCCCACCACAGTTCCACTGCTGTGGCAGCAACAACTCGAAGGACTGGGCAGACAGTGAGTGGATCCGCTCCGGTGAGGCAGGTGGCCGTGTGGTTCCCGACAGCTGCTGCAAGACAGTGGTGGAAGGCTGTGGCCACCGGGACCATGCCTCCAACATCTACAGGGTGGAGGTAGGCCTGCTGGCAGGGCTGGGGCCACACTGTGTGTGGCTAGGGGCCTGGCACTGAAGGGGAGCGGTGCCTGTGCTTAGTGCCCCGTCTCCATCACCAGGGCGGCTGCATCACCAAGCTGGAGACCTTCATCCAGGAACACTTGCGCATTATTGGGGCCGTGGGCATTGGCATTGCTTGCGTGCAGGTACGGAGTGGCAGGTGTGGGGTGGCGAATGTGGGCCACTGTGGGCATTACCTGCGTGCACGTGTATGGTGGGGGGTGTGGGGTGAAGGCATTGCCTGTGTACACGTGTGGGGCCGCAGGCATCACCCGTGTGCAGGCGTTGGGTGTGCTGGCTGGTGCTGGGTTCCATGGGTATTGCCTGTGTGCCGGTGGGATGGGTGTGCTGGGTGGTGCTGGGCGCCGTGGGCATCGCCTGCGTGCCGGCGGGGTGGGTGTGACCCCCACGTCCCTGCTCACACAGCTCTTTGGCATGATCTTCACCTGCTGCCTGTACAAGAACCTGAAGCTGGAACACTACTGAGGCCTGCCTCTGCTCCAGGCGTTGCAGCTTCTCACCGACTACTGAGCTGAGACCACTGACTGGGGGGCTGGTCCCGCTGCCTGTGGGGCCCGCCTCTCTGGGGAGTGCTCCCTTCATTGCTTCCCTGCCTTCTACTGCTCACCAGAGCCCTGGGCCTGAGGAAGGGCCCAACTCTGCACCTGGCGGGATGGGGCTGGGTGCCGACAGAGAAGTCTCTCATCCCCCAAGCTGCCTGCCAGTGCCTGTGTTGTCTGACAGACTGCAACTGAAGGTGACTTTGGACATAGCCGGCTGGGAGAAGGAGGCAGAGGGCGGCTGGCCCACCCTGGTGGTGGTGGCCGGAGGCTGGCTTGGGGGTGGGCTGCTGCTGGCAGGGGCAGGTGGGGAGGGAGCTCTCCCTGGAGGAAGTGCTGTGGCCTGCCCACCGAGCCCCGCTCTGCCCTGCCTCCCACACCCACTCTTTCACTGCTGACTCTCACTAGGACGCCTGCACTGGGGCAGGCGTCTCGCGTGTTACTCGCTGCTGTGTCTTAAATATGAACTGCTGCCGATCACAGGTCCTCAATAAACGTTTCTGAACTGACCACTCTAGTGACGGGGACTGGTGGGTTCCAGCACTCATCCAGAAGTGCGCAGAGCTGGGGGCACATCCTGGGTCCAGTGTGGCCACGAGAGGCAAGAGCCAGGGCTGGGTTTGGGGGGCACTGCCCCGGCTCCTGTGTCCCTGTCTGCTCTTCCCTTCAGGTTGTGCCCAGAGGGTGACACTGCAGGACCCTTCCCTGCCTCTCCAGCTGCGGAGGGCCCCTTGACCCCAGTGTAGGGTGATAGCACCCGCTTTCCCCTGCCTGAGGGGCCCACAGGAGCACGGGGTCAGGTGCTGGTGTGCCGACCGCTTGTCGTCCCCCTTGGCCCCGGAGTCCCACTCTGAAGCCTCCCTCCCCCACCAGCCTCAGGCAGGAGCCCATGCCACACTTGAGTCTCCCGGTGAGTCCAGGAGCTTTATTGGAGGCAGGGTCACGCAGACGCAGCCCATCTCAGTGCTCCGTCACTTCTCCAGGGGTGCGTAGTTGAGCAGCTTCTCAATGAGGTCCACGTGGGCCAGCAGCATGCGGCGGCAGCAGTAACGCTTCAGGCCCAGAGCATCCAAGGCATCCCTGGAGGGGGGAGCAGCGTGAGGGCCCAGGAAGCCTCGCCCCACCCACCTCCACCCCTCCACCCCCGCCCTGCGCAGACCAGGGCTGGGCCGACTGCTGGATCAGAGATGGTACTAAGCCGTGAGGTCTGGACAGCAATCAGCTCGGCTCTCCTCCCCCAAACCAGAGAAACCTCGTGTGGACTCTTAGAACTAGGGTGTCCTCTGCCTCAGCTCAGCCAACCTGCCCCCAGGGACCCTACTCAGGAGATCCTCTCTGGAGGCAGCCTCTCCCTTTCCATAAGACTCCGGAATTCCTGGGACCTAGTCTGATGGTTCAAACCCACCAGCCACTCCTCGGAAGGTTGGGCAATCCTACTTCCGTAGTGATACTGCCTCGGAAACCCAAGGAGGGGTCGCTATGAGTCGGGGCCGACTCGACGGCACATAACAGCAACAACAACAACAAGTGTTTCCCCAGGAGCTCTGATAGCGTAGTGCCTAAGGCTTGACTGCTAACCAGAAAGCTGGTGGTTCAAACCCACCAGCCACTCCTCGGAAGGAAGGTTGGGCAATCTACTTCCGTAGTGATACTGCCTTGGAAGCCCAAGGAGGGATCGCTACGATCCGATTTGACGGCACATATAACAACAACAGTGTTTCCCCAGTCACCTCCAAGAACCTGGGAAACACACCATTGGTGTCCCAGGGACAGGGGCCTGGGCAGCCTGACCGACTCACTCCAACTGCGGGCACTGCAGGCCTTGTCCTCAAGGCCTGGTGTGACCTCCTGGACCTTTCCTCACCCACCTGCCCCTTGGCCCAGCACACCTACACCGAGTGGGAGGCTGCGGGCTCAAACGTGATCCGGACCTGTGCGGCCCGTGCTAAGGGGCGGTGCAGAAGGGAAAGCCACCCAGCCAGCCAGGTGTGGGGTCTGCAAGCTTTTCCTGTGCGTCACAGGCGGTCGTTCCAAACAGACGGGGTGCAAGAGGGCTGCGTGGGTGGCAGCTCAGCGGACACGGACAAAGCCGTGCACTTTCCCGAGGGGCCCACAAGAGCACGGGGTCAGATGCAGGACGCAGGAGGGCCGGAAACCCGCCACGAGGACGCCTAGGCGTCCCCAAGATGTCAGTAACTTCGTGCCCTTCCCCAAGTTTTGCGGGGTAACGTTTTCCTGAGGCCAACTTGGGAGAGCTGCTGAAAGGGTTCCCGGAGGGCGCATCAATCCGATTCGCACCCTCGCCTCCTGCAGGCCGGGCCCCGTCCCCTCGCAGTCGGACCCCGGCCCCGGCCCGCGCCCCCTGCAGGCCGGGCCCCCACTCGTCCCGGGCCCGGGCCTCCACGCCCTCGCGGGCCGGGCTCCACCGAACCCGGGCCGCGCTCTCGCTCCGTCCCAGGCCGGCGACCCGGGCAGGTTCCCAGTGCAGCGGACATGCCCCGTGCCGGACCGCGCCTCACCCCTCGGTGTACTCGGCTTGCAGCAGCCCCAGGTAAGCCTCCCACTTGTTGCCGACGATCTTGCCGCAGGTAAAGCACCGCACGGGGATGATCATGGCGGCAGCACAGAGGTGCCGGACCCGAACGCCGTCCGAGCGAAGGCCGCACGCACCGAATGCGGAGCCGCTTCCGCCAACGGCGCCGGAGGAGCGCAGGCCCCGCCCCGGACGCGCCCACCGACACGGCGCGAGCGGCTCGGGTCGCCTTCGGCTTACGGCTCGCCTCCGCCAACCTGGGCGCCGCAGAGTCTGCTTCGTGCCGCCGCGAGTTTCCTACAGGCGGATCGGGGCTCTCTGCGGCCGCGCAGCCGCCGCGGCAGCAGCCGGCGTTCCCCACCCACGGCTTTGGTACTTCCCGGCGGACGGCGGCCGAGAGGGGCCTGAAGAGCTGGCGTCGCGGATCGCGTTTCTCGTGTCTGCTTGACTGGCAGCGGCTCGGGAAGCAGACCAGCCCGAGCAGTAGGCGGCGCGCGCAGGTACCACCGCCCCCTGCCCGCCAGGAAGCGCAGCCCGGTCCCGCCACCCGCAGAGCCCCGAGCCAGCCCAGGAGCCGTCCTGAGGCGAGCGCGGCGCCAGACCCGGGGCGCGCGAGTTCGAGCCCCGAGCGCGGAGCCCGAGCCGCAGCAGCAAGTGGCCGGACGGAGGCGCTGTGGTCCCCGCGGGCTGCTTGCCCCGGTCGAGAGGGCTGCCCGGACCCACAGGGTCTGCCTGCGGCAGGCGGCGGAACGGAGCCGTGCTGGGCGCCCCCGCACGGCGCGGGCGGCCGGGGGCGGGTCTTCTCACCACCCCTCCTTGCCCGGGTGTCCCCGCTTATGAGTTTGGGGTGTCAGAGTTCCACCCTCGGCCGGCCCCTCCGGGGGCACCTGTCTGGTCCCCTGTCCTGCACTCAGCTCCGCACATAACGGTCCCTCGGCGGGCAATTACCTGGAACCCCCGACGGCTGGTTGGAGGTGCAGCCCCCGGAGGCCTCCTGGTGGCGGCGATCGATGGGATCGCAGGCTCTGTCCGCCCCCCTTCCCTCGGCGGCGCACGGATTGTCCCGGGTCCGCGATCCCCCGCATCCGGAAGGGGTCTGGGAGGCGAGATGCTGGAGAGGGTCGGCGGCAGCCCCGGACCGGGCTGTGCTGGGTAGCCCGAGATCCGGAGACCGGGGGCCGGCAAACGCGCCTCTGATGGCCAGGGCCAGGGCAGGGTGGTCAGGGAAGGTGTGGAGAGATGTTCTTTGAGCCAGACCTTAAAGAACATAGGCAGGTGAGCCTACGTGTGCGTGACAGGCCTGCAGACTGTAGCTGCCAGGGTGGCTGGTATCTGGGCACAGGGTGTGCTCAGGGGTCGGGGAAGAGGACAAATGTGGGTTAGGGCCAAGGAGGGACCCTCAGCCTGGGGGTGCTGGGAGGTGGTGGATCTGAAGAGAGGGAGAAGCTGGTGTTGGGACAGGGGGCAGTGGTGGGCGTGAGGCTGGAAGGCTCTCTGGAGGAGGTGGGTCTGTTGGGGATGGGGTGACACAGGGGTGTGTGTGGAGTATGAGACTGGTGACTTAGGAACACCTGCTGCCTCCAGGTAGGTCCCTGGTCCCAGGGCATGAGACCTCACTCATTGGGCCCTGGCCTCACCTCAGCCATCTACCAACAAACAGCTCCATCAGCCTCAGTGGACCTTGGCTTAGCTGGGGAGAGGAGGGAGGGTCCCCTAGGTCCTAGGTGGGCTACCAGGGCTGCAGCCCCCGGGGGTGTAAGCCTCACCCTCCTCTGGGTTCTGGGCAGACTCCCCAGTGGTGTTTGCTGGGCCTGCCTGGGCCACGTGTGGAGCCATGAGGCAGTGCACTTCCTTTCCCGGCCCCCTCCCCCGAGCCTGGCTGGTGGCACATCCTGTCCCTGGCTGGATGGGGAAGGAGAGGGGGCCTTGAGTCACAGTAGCCTGGGGTCACACCCAGGCTCAGCGGCAGAGGCTGCCGGCGGCTTTGGAGTGAGGGAGGCCCGGAGGTGAGACAGGAGCGGAGCAGAGTGGCCTCTGGGGGGCGGGGGGCGGATGGTTTCCTGGGGGAGGGGCCCGGGGCCTGCCCCGCCCCTGCTAGGCCTAGGCCCCTGTTTACTCCTCAGAGTGAGGGGCGTGAGCCTTGGGCCAGCCAGGAAGGCCGCAGCCCAGCTGACATTCCTGGAATTCCAAGAGCTGGGAGCGAGCTGCTGAGTTGGGGGCGGGCAGCTCTCTTCCCGAGCTCCTCCCTGCAGCTCCCTGACTTCCAAAGGGAGGCCTAGCCTGTGGCCATGAGCCCCCGTGTGCACGAAGCCCCAGGCTACGTGTGCACAAGGCTCCCCACAGTGCACGGGGCCCTTGGAACCCTTGCTCCTCGCCATCTGGACTCTTGCTGA